ATGGCATCTTAAAATTAGAGTAAAACCCGCCAATCAAGTTGAACCCGAAAGTAGACGTCATGTCCGTGTCGAACAAAACAGGGCCAACACTCCGGCTAGACTCTACGCGTTTCATCCGGAGCTGGTTCCGGAATCATCAGGGGTCGTCACGAGATCGGGTGCCAAACGATGTGCCAAACGGACAGTATATAGGACAAACAACACTTAAAATAGGTCAGCCAGAGCGAAACCAGACAGCATGCTAAACTACAGATCCAAGGCTCGAAACCTCGGCAGTAGAACCCAAGGTCTTGTTCATTCCCAAAGAGCCTACCATAGTACAAACCCCAGTAGCATCCGAGGCATCCCCCGGCAAGGGGCAAACCCACAATGAAGGGCAGCCCGGGATCGAATCCCAGTAGCCCAACTAAACATCAATACACCGAGTCAAAAATGAGTTGTGCGTCTGCCCGAACAGCATGCCCCCTTCCCAAATGGGCCATCCTGGCCCAGAACCCGCGTTCTGAAGCAATTATCCTCCCAACCCGTCAAACACTCAGCCCAACACTTCCACAAACTTCCAAATTTCACAGAGAAATTCCACAGCGACTTATCGAAGATATCACCCGAAACCCTCGAATCCGAAATTCAATCTTCAAAGTAAACAAAAACAGGACTTCAGCAGCAGACATGCTTGTGAACCGTCGAGCCCGATGAAAAAACGATCCGACGACCGCCATTTTTTGCTTCTTGCTCACATATGAGCAGTTATCCTGCAGACTCTGAAAGCATAGTCCCATGCTCAAAATGATCCGTTGGTTCTTATGTACAGCCGCACGTTGCACACCAAGAGGCCAATCGAAATCCCTCAAGACACACCCAAGAAAGTCCCAAGCATCCTGGTCACTGGTGTGAACCAGGCTCAGCTTAGGATCATAACAGGCCTCAAATTTGGACAAAATTCTTTTCGCGTTCCAAAAAGAGAAGCTGTTTCCCTTACGATACTTCACAAAAATTAAGACGTCATCGATTAATCGAATTCCATTGATCAGCCCCCGGTCCGACCCAAGCGAGTTAAGAAAGGAAATTTTTGAGTAAACACAGAGTAAACATGCTATTGCAGGACTGGAGGGTTTGCCCATGGGAATACCCACAATCTGTTGGAGGATAGCCCTATGAAACACCCGCAGACGCGTCCGCGGGGCCGAGCTCGGAGGGCGGACGTATTCACGGCCGCCTCCGCGGTTTTACCAGATTTTTCCTGAATTAAATAATAGGCCAAAAACAAAAAACAAAAATATGAGGTTGTAGGGAATTTTAAGCCCTACAACCCCATTTTGTTTTTTTGAAATCCGACTTTGTTGAGGAGTTTTTAAAAATCAAAAACTAAATTCGATTTAAAAAAATATTAAAAAAAGCTGGAATTTTTTTTTGTCATTTTTTATCATCAGATATATGGTCCCTGAGTTCACCTGTATTTTTTAGGAATGAATTTCTGTTTTTTGCAGGGCTATGAGGTGTTTTAGAAAAATAAAGATGCAAAATTGGAAAATAAATAACAAAAAACTTGAAAAAAAGGGTTTGATTGATTGATTGATTGATTGATTGATTTATTGGTTGATTGATTGTGTGTGAGTGTGTGTGTGTGTGTGTGTGTGTGTGTGTGTGTGAGAGGGAGAGAGAGAGAGGTTTGTGTGTGTGTGTGTGTGTGTGTGTGTGTGTGTGTGTGCGCGCCTGCGCAGCAGCTGCGGGGAGCTGCGCGGCGCTGCGAGGGGCTGCGCGGGAGCTGCGCGCAGCTGCGCACGCGCACGCGCGCGCGCGA